CCCTCCTGCCGCAGCAGCCCAGCCCGAGATGGCCGCGCGCCTCCCTTGCCCCCCCTTCTCCCCTCCTGGCCTCTCCTCCCGCATCACCCCGTGCCAACCCGGTTCCCTTCCCCCGCCCCGTCATGGTGTCCCTTCCTTCGGGCGTGGTGCACCCCCCCCCCTTCCTCTGCCTGTCCTGCCGTGTCCTTCGCTCCCCTCCTCCCCTGGCCCCTTCTTTCGCTGCCCTGCTGACCCTTGCGTCTGCCCCCGCGCGCTCCTGATTCCCGTCCGGCCCGATCTTGCCCGCCCCCCGCCGCCTCAGCATCTGTGCGCCATAGTTCGCCCGCTCAGTGCAACTGGGGGGCTGCTCTTCCCGTCTGTCCCGTGTCCTCCGAAGGGAGGGCCGGAAGCATCAGTGGCGCTACCACTGCTTGCGTGCGTTCGACTCTTTCGTTGCCTTGCTTGCAACCCTCGCCCACACATCGCATCCCTAGTCCCTGCAACTTCTGACAGGCCGTCGCTTGGGCCTCCCCTTCCGCTTCCCGCCACCTCGCTGCATCTCCCTGTGCCGCCCCACCGCATTCTCAGAGGCTTCACTCATTGCAGCACCCGCCCGCCTCTTTTTCTGCTGATGGCTCGTCCGGCCGTGCAGCTGATCGTGTGGGCGCCCACCCGCGAGAAGGCCATTCAGCGCATGCAGCGCGCGCTGGGGGACACCGTCATCGAGGGTGAGCCCCCTTCCCCGCCCGCCGCCCTCTCTCGCGGCCGCCGCCGCTGCAGCCGCTGCGTGCGCGCGCCTGGATGCGAGTCGCTCTGGTGTGCGGCGCCCGGCTGAGCGCGGTGTGTGGTGCTGTCGCTGCGTGCAGGCGTGCCGACGACGATCGACTACCACAAGCTGATCCTGGACGTCAAGGACTTCAAGGCGGGCAAGGTCGACACCGCCTTCATCCCCAAGCACGAGGACGAGCTCGCCACGGTGAGCCCCCCGCCGCCCTCCTCCCCCCACGCCGCCGCCCCGCTGCCCCCGCGCGCACTGCGTGGCCGGGCGGTCCGCTCCTNGGGGGCCCCAGCCTGAGCGGGCGGCAGTGACTGACTGCGTGCGTGGGTGTGTGGTGCGTGCAGCCGCCCCCTCCGCCGACCAAGAAGAAGACCAAGACAGCCGCCAAAAGGAAAGCCTAGAAGCTCCACTCAGAAGAATTCGATTAAGCTGGCAGCCATGTCCGGTGCCCCCTTACGCGTTGGATGATTTTTTGGACATGTTCCATGCGGCAGTGCCGTCGTGAGTAGGACGGTCGGCCTTCTTGTACCGAGTTGGACCTGCTTGCAATGCGCATGCTCTGGCCCACCATGCCGTTGTGCCCGGACGGCCTGCTCAGGGGAGGCTGCTCCTGCTCACTGGTCCTCACCCGGCCAACTCAATGCATCGCAGCAGCGAGTCATACTTCGCGGCTGCCACTACAACTTACAAGGTGCTGCGAGAAATTGCTGGTTCTTTAGGGTATCTTGTCTTGCCAATGCGATGCATGATTGCATGGAGTTCATGCCTCCCAAGTTTACATGGGATCGCATGTTGAGGTATCAACTGATTCTTATATTGCATGCTCCGAAATGCATGCATGAACGATAACAGCGGAGAGTAAGTTGAAGAACTTCCTACAACTTTTGCCTCGTTGACTTAGCCCACTATGCCATTGGGTATGGTATGTCTTGTATATGCAAGGTGAACGAGTTGCAGAGTATCGTACCACCCGGTCAAACATGTGGATCCAGAAAAAGTTTAAGCGCAACCTGCCAAATCTGTCTTTTTAAGAAGGTTGCATGGTAGGTTTGCGACGCCTGACCATGCCCCACTGCTGCAATGACTCGGTCATGCAACATGTTGGAATCAATGTTTCAACTTGAATAGTTTATTTCAGGGTCAATAAAGGCTGGTATAATAGCTAGTCCTTCTGATTTCCCAACATTATGGCTGCCTGATCCTTGGCCGCCATGCCGCCACAGACATGCCCACTTCTTTCTCGTCACACTGATAACTGGATATAAACCAAGGGCCGCAGTGCGTCTCAAATCAGATCTACCTGATTTATAATGTATGTCTACGTACATCCTATAGTACTGGGACGCTCATCAAGCAATTTTTGTACCATCCAGTAGCATCTACTATCATCTAGTAGTTGGTGCCAATATTGCAATGCTCAGTGGAAAATATATGGCAATTTTGCTCTTTTCAAACGCCGTAGCCACATGGGCCACAGGCTTGCATGGCATACATGGGAATAAATGTTGTAAACGCCTAGCTATCCTCCCAAATCTTGGTGTGCTACATTAGTAAATATCTGGTGTGTTCTAACGGCTAATGTGCTAGCGAAACAATTCCGCTTTCCGGGGATATAGGCTAGTTAAGACTATTGAACATGTAGGATTAGCATTAACTAGCGGGAGGTGGCGCAACCATCAGTCTTCGAGGGTTGTAAACCGCAGAAAGGCACAGAGAAGCGGATGCGGAGTATTGGCACACATCGGTATGGCGGCCGTGATTTTCGTGTGAAATGACTTGCAACTGTTACGTGTTGCAAGCTTCATTCAAACACCCCCGCCTCAATCAACGCACACCAATAGATTAGGGCAATACCAAAAAGGACTCGGAAGTGTTCATTCTACAAGCCACAAGTTATTTTCAGTGGAGTAAGATATCACCAACTTTTACGGATGTACGTTTCACTAATATATATGCTTCATTCTCCTAAAAAAGAATTTTTCATTTGAGTCATTGAAAACATCCCGCGGCACATTCTTTCAACATGCGTTAAAGATTCGAAACTTGTCGCCAAGAATGCACTGGAAGAAATGACTTGATCAAAACATCTGGCCTTGTTCAAAAACAGTTTATTTCGTTCATACACAATTAATTGTCTTTATGCACAGGACACAAGCTTCAGTTTTTACTGTCCAGGGGCGAACTGGGTGGCATAGGCCTGCAAGACAGAGCATACACTTGTAGTTAGTTTGTGTGCGAAGTAGGGATGAAGTTGCTGTCAAGAAGCGAGTCATGCAAACAAGGTGCAGTGCCAAAAATAGTCACTAAAACATATAATTAGTACAGCTCATAACATCCTTACCCAGGCGTTGTTGACAGCGGGGTCAGCCAGATGGTCGTTCAAGTTGGCAATGGGGCCCTTGCCGGTGACAATGGCCTGGACGAAGAAGCCGAACATGGAGAACATGGCAAGTCTGCACAGGGAACAGAGGACACTGTCAGTACGAGCTCCGGAATGCAGAACATTCACAGGTGGAGCGCGCCCACAGAGTACAAGTGGGACCATCTGTTGCACAAGATGCACGGCAGCAGCTGTTTGAAGCAGCCTACCTTCCGTTCTTGATCTCCTTGACCTTGAGCTCAGCGAAGGTGTCGGGGTCCTCAGCCAGGTTCAGGCTGCACGAAAGGGGATCAGAGCAGAGGAGATGAGCGAGGAGCTTTTGATACAAAGAAGGCTGCAAAACCAAAGATGCTCATAGAAGTTTAGCACAGCATGAACGAATTATACAAGACTGCACAAGCCAGAGCAAGGGGACACTTACGGGTCGAACTGGCCGCCGGGGTACAGGGGGTCCTCAATCTCGCCGAGGGGTCCGCCGTTCACTCTGTATCCCTCAATGGCACCCATGAGGATGACCTGAATCAGGCAAAATACCCTGGGTTCAGAGAGGGAAAAGGAGAGGGTGCGGAATATGCAATTGCGTGAGAGGTTATCGAGGCAAGGCAATGGGGAAGGCCAGTGAGCAGTGAGGAGGCAGTGCTGACCTGGGATCCGAGGATGGCCAGGATGGACTGGGCGTGGACGAGGCTGGGGTTGCCGAGGTAGTCCAGACCGCCGGGGGCGAAGATCTGAGAGCCAGCCTTGAACCAGACAGACTCGCCTGCACAACCATAAGCGAGGACAGGGGCTCAGAGGAAGGGAAGGATGCAGACAAACTATCTCACTCGGGAACAAGACAGACATCACTTTTGACCAGGGCATTAATCTGTCTTGCGCCAGACGGGCTTTCCCTTTGTCTTGATTCCACCAAGTGGCTTGTTGCCAGATTCTGAAGCCAATACATTTCATGGGAGACGGAGCACCCGTTGTGCTGTGGCGCCAGCGGCACTCACCAAACTTGACGCCGTTGCCGGCCAGGAGCTCAGGGGTGATGCACCCCAGGGCACCGAGCATGGCCCACCGGGCGTGGATGAGCTCCAGCTCGCGGTTCTTGGCGAAGGTCTCGGGGTCAGCGGAGAGGCCGGCGGTGTCCCAGCCGTAGTCTCCAGCGAACTCACCGGTCAGGTAGCTGGGGGTCTCCCCGGAGAAGGGGCCCAGCCACTGCACAGTACCAGCACACAATACAGGTCAGCCCAGTCAACACAGGCTGCGCACCACAATGGGCGCACCTCCATGAACGAAGCAATCCCTGTGCTTCAATTGCGGCGCCTGCATTGCTGTCCTCATTGTCAGGGCTGTCGGATCCCGGCCAGCGTCTATCCCCTATGGCCCACTGCTTGCTGGCCCTGACCCTTGCATCCCGCGATTTGCACATCAGTATGCGCGCTCAGGGTTGCGTACCTTGAGGCGGTCCGGCCCGTACCAGGGGCTGGAGGGGGCGGACTTGACAGTCCTCCTCATCTGGATCTTGCCCTCGGAGGCATTGCTGGCCAGGGTGGTGCCCACGAAGGCGCTGGGGACCAGCTGGGCAGCGCGCAGAGCCAGGGAGGAAGCCATGGTGTCGGCGGAGAGGGGATCGAGGAAGCGCCTCGAAGGGATTGGTGAGCAGAATGTGAGAATTGTGAGGAGGCAACGAGTGGAAGGCGAGTCTACTAGCGGGCGGAATCTCCGGCTCTCGATCCTGCAGCATGCACATTGCACATTACATGATCAGACTGGGAATGTTCATCTCTGGCATTGAGTGGTGCAGGTGCCACGCTGGCAGATTTGATTCTGGCAAACCTTGAGGCGGCCAATCATTTTTGCGAATTGGATATGGTTCTGGCTGACATGGCACTCTGCCCCAGCCGCGTTGAGCCAGGCGATCGCAAGCGAGTGGCAGCCAGTGCTTCCCACGAACCGGTCAATCACGCGGGAACGGGTCGATCGATGCCGCCCGGGCCTGCGGCTGCCAGTGGCCCGCCGGAACTTGCCCAAGGCACCCCATCGGTTGGAAAACCGGCAAGCAGCAGCGCATCCCCTGAGGGCAACCAGGCAACTCTTGGCGACGGTGGGGGTTACAACTTACCGGGCGACGCCTGGCGTGCCCGGCTGATAATCACCGGCGGCTCGATCGGAACCGGGGAGCCGGTCATAGGTTGGTAGGTAGGTAGAGGCCGCGCACGCCACAATCCAGTAGGTACTAGGTACCGTCTACGGTAGTTTCCAGTCACCGGCTGCCGGCGGGCCCAATCATCAATGTTGCACACAGAATCATGCAGAGGTTTTTCCGGGTTGCGACCGGTTCAGTGTCGCACCTTAGTACCTAGATTGCAGCATGCACTCGGGAAACCTGATCGCCGTCCCCGAGTCACGCCCAGGTGCGATCGAGCAGCGAGCTCAGATAGTGTTCTGGAAGCCACACCTACCTGCCAATGCCCACCCTGGTGGAAATCAGCAACTAGAGTAGGAAGCTTCGACACACCTGGCAGCTATGAACACTGTGAACTTGTGTAGTGCAAAATTACACAATCGCAGTGGAGCAAACTTGAAAGCATCAAAGCATTCTCCTTTTATTAGTGTCTCCGACCCGTCATATAGGTGTGAAATACACTCAAACACCTGAAGTCATTAGAGCCGTGGGGGAGCCGTGACTCTGACAGTGGTTACGGGCTGTGGTTAGGACAATGACAGCGACGCTGACATGGTGGCAACATTGACATTGACAATGACAGTGACAGTGACCGGGGCTCTCAAGTGACATTAGGGTTATATTGCAAACCTGTAACGGTTTGTGCCAATCGACTAGCGTTATGTTAGGGTTACGTCATTTCCCAGTGACATCATAGGGTTACTCACTGACAGTGAAAC